AGGACGGAGGGCCTGACAAGGACAGCTGTCTAGTCGTTCGGATGGGACAGAAAAACGAGGTACCGTGTACACATTGGCGTGCACGCAAAAGATCCCTTGGCAGTTGGAATTCGATATAAGAGTTGGCCATAGTGCCGCTGCCCGGGCCAAATTTCCCTCATAGCACACTGTATGGCGTATGCCCGTCTTCATTAGCCCAGGTTAGGAGCAGAACAGTAGGAGGTTAAACCCCATTTCATTTCATTTCATTTCATTTCTGTTTTGCCTTTTACGCGAAAAGACAAAAATGTGACTTAGATCGTTCTTCACCTGGACTCTTCAATTGATTGTATAGATTACATAAGACGTTGTAACGTAGTACTGGCTCAGGCAGAATGGTGCCTTTTACTCATTTTAAATGCCCATTTACACTAAATAGGTAACATTTGTTACCTACATATACTTCAAACACCTTTATTTATTTGTCTAATACTTTCAAATAAGATTTATAGAATATAATTTGCAGATGGAAAAATAAAAAGTTAATATTGCGAGCTCATTAACCTGCACTGATGTCATCCCTATCAGTGATTTGTAGCGGCCTATCGAATATTCACTTCTGATCAGTGTGCTTATTTTACTGAAAGTAATTGTTGGTGTTCTGTAATTGCAACATTACATAGTCTTTCTCGTCCAGAACCCCAAGTCTTCAACTCAAAGAGGGACTGGACAAGTCATCCGCATTTCAATATTCGTCTGAATGATAGAGACTACATTTCAGTTGAAGAATGACATCGCTCCATGTACACCTATTTATAATGTTTACCAGTCTCTTATAGTCGTTGGATTTTGTAAATACGTCATTGATCCTTTTGTAATATGTTTTTAAAACTTAGCAATATTGTTAATATGCAACATTGATAATATGTTCAAAGAACATAATATATAGAGCCAACCATTATTCAGAGCTCTTTTATCTCGTTGGCAAACTGGCCAGTTTTAGGCACCACAGATTCAATTTTGAAAATAAACATTAAGGTTAATGTTATTAAATAACAGTGGTCTTAACGTGAAATCGGGGGTTATGTACTTTTAAGACGGCCTTGATTAAAAGCGAGTTATTACCCGGGTGTTGCGACTATTGGGCAACCCTGGAAATACGGCACATGTCACTCGCGGACATTATCAGACACAAATTCGTTTGGTTTTCTAGCACAGATTTGTCTTTTTCTGTGAATTCGTATCCGGCACAAGGTTAAAAATGTCAGGTACGACTAAAATAGTTATTTACAGACCTGCTACTGTGCGAACTGAGGGTAATCGCTTTGCTTGTAAAGAAAAGGTGCCGACATTATGATAATTTCATCACATTTACGTAAAACTTTCCATTTGACATTATTTGACGATTATAATTACAATGATTATGTTCAAAGTAGAGTGGATATGTGCATTTTGAGACAATTAGCATCTTAAATTTGAGAAAATTTCTAGTTTTATATCAGCAATTTCCTAGTTATATCTGAGTAATTGCCTTTTTTTCTGATTGGATTTTTGGTTTTGTATTGGTTGGTGTATATTTTGCTTTCTACCTGGTACCATTTTCTCAGTAAAACTGGCCAAACATTTTAGAAAGATGAAATTTATGACCGAAAATGACACGTCTTCTACATAAGTACTCAACCGTGTCCTAAATGTATTTATTTCTCATGAACTGAAATGGAATGGTGATCATAATGTAAGGCAATCTGATTTATATACAAATCTATATTTCGTTTCGGGTTTTTTTATACTTTCGTTGGCCTCCACTACATGATGATCTGATCAATTTTAGTGGATTGTCGTGTCAGGGGTCATACGGGCAATTTTTTTTTTTTGGAACGTGTTTAACCAGTTCTATCACATATGTGATAATGACGGACTAATATTATTCTTTAATCAGATCTTTAAAATCTTTTAGACATATTTTGTAAATAGTATATTCATCTGTATATACTTTTGTATATGGAAAGAGCTATAGGTGTCAAGCCCATTCATTTATAAATAAAATATCGTTTAAATCTAAAAATCTCATGTGAAAATATACTCGGACAGATCTCACGATCCAAACATAAGCAAAACTACGTTAGGTTTCATCATTCCTGAATTTAATGCTAATACCAAACAAGTTACCAGATAGATGTTCAATCTGTGCAGCAGAATTAAAGGCAATATCCACAGCTTTTGACTGGCTTTTGTCATCAACCATTCAAAGAACCGCCATTGTGTTAGACCCCCATGGCAGCATTGAGTAAATTAAACATGACAAAACAACATCTAGACCAGAAATTGTTGAGAATATTTCCTTCAAATTAAAAAAACGTAGAATTAAAAAAATGAATACCATCCTATGTAGGCATAGTAAGAAATGAGTCTGCAGACATTCTTGGTCACAAGAGACTCGGGCTCTACTCTGCGAGACGGAAGACTTGGAATATTTCGTACAGTAATCAGCATGGAGATTTGTAAAATCGCTGATTCCAGCTGAAATATATGGAATTTTAGTTTTTGTATTTTATCCAGTTCTCAACCAGACGACTGTACTCTGAGCTTAAAGAAAATGATATTATAATTTCTCAAAGCCACTTGCAAATGGTATTGAAAGAAGTTCTATAATTCGCAAAATAAACCACGGCAACTTTGACAGCAAGATACAATTATTTGAAAAATCTAGCAAAATACAGGTATTATAGATTTCTCCCTTATTGTAGAAATGAAGAATATGAAATTGTGATGAAACACGCTTGATGCAAATCATTGCAAACATATAGACCGGAGGCCCATCGAATGGGCACAAAACCAGACCCACTTTTCTAGAGTAAAATTTTGCGTAGAATATGATGCCGAGTGGTAATCAGTCCACCTTTGTCCTTTGTGACCCCGGACGTCAAAAGGTCAATTTTCCGTTTTTGCAATAGGAAGATTTAAAGCAATCAAATGCTAGCGTAAAATATAAAAACTAAAGGCGAAGCCTGTTCTAATTTATAATGGGAACTTTTAAAACTTTACATTTTTGTTGAAAGGTTGATTACTTTCGATCATTTTCAGCATGTTTTCATGGTACAAGAATGGCTCCACATTCACTTTCAGTACAAATGACCTCAACTGACCCCGAATATCTCGAGAAAACTCCCCAAAGGTGGACTGATTACCACTCGGCATCGTATTACGCAAAACTTTACTCTAGAAATGTTGGGTCTGGTTTTGTGCCCGTTCATTGACACCCCCCGCGCTGAGCCTCCAGATTACTAGCGTTTGGACGGAAAGTCGAAAAGGTAAAACTAAGATTATTTTTTTTTAAATGCAAAATAAATTCTAAGTTTTTAGTATTCGAACACTATTTATATGTGCTTTTCTTATTTTATATTTCCGGGTCCCATTAGCGTATTGCTTCCAGATTTTCCTCCCTGTGGGTGGTGCATTCCTTCTGGACGCAGGATGTACAACCAGAGGATTTATCGCAGACGTATAGGGAGGGTGTTTCGGTCGAAGGCAAAATCGTCCGACTATCATGAGATAACGGGAAGTAAGCATATTTCCTATTGTTATTTGCAATTAATTATACTTTCGAAAATTAGTAATCCTGAATACAAATGTTTCGTAAAACTACGCTTTGTTTTGGCCTTAGTCAACATATTATAAATTTTTATTATATATGTTGATTTCATTTGTATTTTCGGATATTTCATTGACTGGTTTGCAGATACATTATTACCATCACTTCCAGAATCAGCTTTGATTGTTTTAGACAACGGCCATATCACAATATCAAATCATCCTCATATACTCTAAAACAAAAAAAAAACAAAACAAATAAAGGGATAGAATTTGGTCCATCTGAAACAAAGGATAAACACTCCTTTTAATTACGGTGTAATGGGCAGTTTCATTTTAAATAGAAGACATGCTAAAAACCGAAAATGAAATGAAATGGGGTTTAACGTCCTACTGTTCTGCTCCTATACTGGGGCTAATGAAGACGGGCATATGCCATACAGTGTGCTATGAGGGAAATTTTGCCCGGGCAGCGGCACTATCGCCTACTCTTATATCGAATTCCAACTGCCAAGGGATCTTTTACGTGCATTCTAATGTATACACGGGACCTCGGTTTTTCGTCTCATCCGAAGGACTAGACAACTGTCCTTGTCAGGCCCTCCGTTCTGCACCACTGACAAGGGGAAACCACGTCGGAAAATTCAGGATGAACTTTCTCGGCCAATGCAGGGATACCTTGTCGTGACAGAATAAGACAATACGTTTTAAATACTTACACTTATTTGAAATACGGTATATTTTTTCATAGGCAGCACTATTAAAACGGGTTCCAGTAAATAAGTCAAACCAGGAATACGAAACAGACCGATTGGCCATTTTTAACGGCCACTTAATCAGGAGACTTCCAGTGTCACCAATTTGATTTAAACATTCAAGGTGGCTTTTTTTTTAATTTAAAGAAATATTACCACTATCAATCATCCTAAATTAAAATGAAATTGACTCGACAAACTATAAAAAAAACATCTACTCACATACTTACATAAAGTAAAGCATTTTCTTTAGCCTATTTGCAACTTAGACATACATTATGCAGGCGCTAAATCTGCCTATTGCAGGTCTTTCTTTAGGCCAGAAATGTTATCTACATTATTAATTAGACGTTACTTAACTTAACCAGACCATAATCAACTCTCGATGCAGTCTTCGATATTTAGCGGATTGGAATACAGTTTTTGAAAAATAATTAAATGTAGAAATGGATAATAGAGTTTGTTTTTTTTTTATCGTACCGACTTTAGTAATAATGATCGAGGCTAGCCTAAAATTCAAAAGCTAATATCTCGGTTCAGAGTGGGGCAATTTAACTAAAATTGTCAGCATATTCTATTTACGTTATCTTTTTTTAACTATTATAGCGGAAACTGTCGACTTTTTATCTAATCTCCCACAATGCCCCTTTAAGTCTCGATGCTTCCGTTTAAGCAATATGAATCCCTTACAAACAAAATTGTGAAGATGTGTCTCTAATAAGAATATCGGTTAAAAATTGTTCCGTTCAGTTCTATATTTGCAAAAATATGTGGAATTGAAACTAAGTAAAAAGCCCGGCGCCATTTTGTAGTCGTCGAACAGAAACTGTTCAAAAGTCCTTACTTGAATCCAAGCCCGGAAACATATTAATTTAACATTTTGATTTATGTTTTCTGAATGTTAAAGTAGCTAAGTCTCTAACTCAGTATCGCCCAGGGCCGTATGTAGGATTTTAAAAGTGGGGATGCAGCCGAGTGGTGGGGCCCCATAGCCTCCACGTATGTGATATAAGAAAGTTTCGATCAGGGCAAACGAACCCATTGGCGTGTGATCGCCCTTAAAACCGATCGACCGATCAGTGCCTTAAGAGCATTACTGTGTGATCATAATCAAGTGTATTATTTTATAATTGAAAGATTGTCAAATAATTTTTGTTTTTTGGGATAGGGTGGGGGGGTGCAATTTCTCGGGGCGCCCTATTTTTCTGGGGGTGCAATGTACCCCCTGCACCCCCGCTAAATACGACCCTGATATCGCCCAAAGTCTTTGGAATTGAAAACGTGTATTATTTGCAAATTTAAAACAACAGTGATGTTGTGATCTCACCGGGAAAAGATGGGCTTCTGATATCCAATATATTAGACAAAATAAACATTTTACCATTGGTACACAAATCGTGTACCATAATGCGTTTCAGCGCCATTTGTAACAAGGGACTCGAAGAACGAGGCTAGGCATATTCCACAAGTCATCTCAAACGGTGACGTAATATTCTTATCTTAAGAGCATACGCAATAAATACTATCCGTGTAGACTGGAATAACCAGACGCTAGAGATTTCCATTCGATTGAGACTTCTGGAGTATTTCGCCGAACAAAACTGATTAGAAATTACAATAAAAACAGAAAAGATTGAATGTAAATCAGTTAATATATATTCATATTACATTATTATATGCGTTACGACCCATTTGTGTCAATTTCTAGGTCCAGAATATTAGCGATTTAGCTCCTTTAAATAGTCAATCTGACTACTTTAGCGTATATTCAGCTGTGAAAATTTGATATTTGCACATGGCGCATCGTCGGCAAATATGTGCAGATTTGTGTCAGATGTATAAGTATGTTCGATTTAAGAGTTACCAAAAGTGATTGTCCCTCTTTGTACAAGTAGTTAATATTATGTTTATAAAATATTATTGAGGGTAGCGATAAAGTGCGTTTTAGCTTATATTTCTGTTTTAATATTTTAGGCAAAGAAAAAGACTACATCATCAGCGGCTTTCAAAATTGCAGATGTGGAAACACTCTACAGAGAAGCCAAAGAAAGGGGTATCCAGGAGGATTGAGAAAGGTACTGCTTGCATATCATCAATGAAGTGGAAAACAAAATTAAGAGAGATTGATGGCGTGCATCAGGAACTTTCACCAATGATAATTTGCTTAGGAGCTGAGTCTGAAAGTGTGAATGAGAAAAATGAAATGAAATGGGGTTTAACGTCCTACCATACAGTGTGCTATGAGGGAAATTTTGCCCAGGCAGCGGCACTACGACCTACTCTTATATCGAATTCCAACTGCCAAGGGCTTTTACGTGCACGCCAATGTGTACACGGGTCCTCGTTTTTTCGCCCCATCCAAACGACTAGACAGCTGTCCTTGTCAGGCCCTCTGTCCTGCATCACTGACAAGAGAAACCACGCCGGAAAATCGGGATGAACTTTCTCGGCCAATGCAGGGATCGAACACCCGACCTCCAGGCTAGCGAGCCAGCGTCTTACCCACTTAGCCACGTGATCCCCCGTGTGGATGAGAGTGAAAGCCATATGGGTGTCAGTGCTGAGAATGTGAGTGAGCGTGCCTTGATTCGGGGTCTTTAGCAGTGGGAGGAAACCGGGGGACCTGGAGAACCGACGAGATTGGACAGCCAACCCTACTCCTTGTCAGGTACAACCGTGGATTCGAAACCACGCCAGTTGACTCAATAAAAGACCTTATTTTACAGTGCGCACGTGCTAACCATTCGGCCACCCAACCCCCCTTGTTTAGTACAATGTTTAGGTTCAAGATTAAATCTATTGCATAGTCTTTGCAGACTGATCAATCATATAAATAGTACCCCTTTAATCCTGGGTGCAAAATTTGTCTCATAGAACACTGTATAGCATATGTCCTTCTTCATTAGCCGGTTTGTGCAGGAAAGTAGAATGTCATACCCATTTCATGTAAAGCACAACAATAACTAATCGGGGAACACATTACTTGACATGGATCTTTTTTTATACAGTTTTAATTTATTTAGAAAAGGATGAATAAATAAAACAGTGTATGATTTAATAATAGACATATATACATATACAATTATTAATAATTCATTTTTTGTATATATATATACAAGAGATCCATCTAAAACATATTTATACAGACAAATAACAATCTCTCATATTATTCACACTCAAAAAGAAAAGGAGAAACATTTAGCCATTCTCAGTCGATGCAGGGTTAGCTTTTAATCAAATATATCTTAGTCACCACAGCTCAAGACAATCAAAAGTTACAATGGATAATAATTGGGAGAAAAGTCAACAGTGAGGACACCGCCTCAATCCCAAAATAGCTAACTAATTACTTAAAGATTGTTTTTATAAAGCATGGAGGACTTTTTTGGTTCATCACTCTCATGATCATGTTCCAAAGCACTGACAAAACCAACTGTTAATTGGTCTTGCATCCTCAAAAATGTTTATTAAACTCTAGATACTCACCTAAATATCTAAACCAATTTTAAAAATGATTGAGTTATTGTGTTAAGCAAACGGACAAACAAACCAACTTTAATAAACCCCTGCTTTCTAGAAAGGCTAGTGACAAAAAATATCCTGTGTAAGTTTTAAGAGTTTTGTTTTTATAATGTCATTACCAAACATTAATTTGTGATGATGAAATAAATGCTATAGAATCTTCATGTTAAACACTTAAAATTCTCTACTTCGTAATCAATCTGATTAAAATACAGATCTACATTTCGTTTCATTTTATTATACTTTCGATGGCCTACACTACATGAAGATCTGAACAGTTGTACTAGAAGGTCGTGTCAGGGGTCATACAAGCGGCTTTTGACCCTACGACGTCCGACATTGATTAATCAATCAGCGATGACATTTCTAGTGGTTTACCCACAGTTCAGTGTAACGCACGCCAAGAACTTGCTGTAACAGACCATTTCATTGGCTAATCCCTCACTTCAATCAGAATGCCAGTAATATAACAACTTTTCCAGATCCTTGTGTAGTAAAAACAAGTAAAACGAAATTTTGAACTACAAAAAAAAAAAAAAAAAACAAAATAGGATCTGTGTTTTAATCAGATTGTTTTGTAATTGTCAGGAGAATCAAAGGAATGAGTATACACCTCAAAACAATGCTTTGGTCATTCTGAGACTAACATATATGGTAATTTATATCTTACATGTGATAATCATACATACACTTCAATGAATCAACATTTTTAAGCACACTATCATTTTATAAAACTGTTTTATGCATTTAGTAAATAAAATGAAAATACAGGCCTTTGATAAAGATGAATCCTACCTGAAACATTACACAGTAATTATATTTCACAGTATTACCATACTTTATACATAAAATATCATTTATATTTAACTGAATATCTAAAATCAATGCCCTTAATTTTGAATTTTGACATTAAACAACCGCAAATTTATCATATTTATAAAGCAATATTATCATTTATATTCTCTTTCACCAATTTTAAACAAAAAATTGACAGCAGTAAATAATAACCCTGTGTCTATATTTGTGGATATGGACTCAGACTAGTATCTCTGTAACCATGAATGTAGTTCAGCTATTTATAGCAATTCTTTTTCTCCCCTTTTTTGGATACTTTTGGTTCTGAATCAAATTTATATTTTTTGTCCAGTTTTGGTGAATATTAATGATCTGATGCAGACATAACGGGACATCAACAGGCATGAATTAGGGAAACCGTACGAAAATCATGTCAGAGACTATAGATTCCTCTGACTGGATGCCTCCCCCTCCCCCCCTTCAATATTGTTATCAGATGACTGAGAAATGTTGGGCTCTTTGTGGTTATAAAGATTAAAGTCATCAGAATGCTCCAAAATATGTTATACATATAGGCCAATAAATGGCATGCATTTAACATTGAAGTCAATGGAGAGAAATGAAATGAAGTTTAACGTCCTACTGTTCTGCTCCGAACTGGGCTAATGAAGACAGGCATACACCAGACAGTGTGCTATGAGGGAAATTTTGCCCGGACAGTGACACAATGGCCTACTTTTATATCGAATTCCAACTGTCAAGGGATCTTTTACGTGTACACGGGACCTCGGTTTTTCGTCACATCCGAACAACTAGACCGCGACCTCCAGGCTAGTAGTGAGCCAGCGTCTTACCCACTTTGCAATGGAGAAAAAATTACTAGTCTGTGTCCATATGGATCTGTTCAATTAGCCACTTTCATTTCTATTCCTTTTCAAAAAAAAATTCATGCCTTTAAATAAAACACATTTTTCCTCTCAACTTACCATTATAACAGACAATTTCAGTACGCTCATCGACAATCAGCTTTACTTACAGCCGTGCTTATATACCGTGTATATACAATATCAGTATTATTATTATTCCACGATTTCTTTGGGGAAATAAAATGCTATACATTCATAAATGTACAATTATTTATATACAAACATAACATATATCCTTTGTATACTATAGCAATTAAAACAACAAACCCTATACAAGGGAATTAACCATTCAATTTATCGGATTATTAAACCTACCAATACAAAAAAATAAAATAATTATAAATTGAGCAGCAGATTCCAACTGCATTTAGTTATTGTTTTGCATAAGCCTGAAGTTTAATGCCCCCCCCCCCTCCCCCTTCTCACTAGAATCAAATAGTATAAATAAATGGTTATATCTCACCCATGACACAATTAAGCAACTTAGATTACAACTAAATGATAAGTCAATCAAATCCATGGTTTAAATCAAAAATAAAAGAAATTCAAAAAAGATGTATGAGGAAATAAATATTACAAATATTCATTATTACAATCAATTACTAAAGTCCAGTGCTTTATGTCCTGTAATTGTGTTATTAAGGACAAAACACAAAGATTCCTTCATAAAAATTTAAAGCTGATGATCATCATTTGCAGGATTTCTAATCTCTTGCAAACTACAATATTGTGAAAGTTAAATCTTTAAAAAGGAACACAGTTCAAAAATAGTTTAATTCTGTTCAGTATTTAAAAAGATATAGTGAACTGACAATATAAGCCAGCCATAACTACTGGGTAATATCTTTTGATGGGCCTCTTTTAAACCAATTGCATCCAACCCAGGAGATATCTACTGGTTTTCTTCTTTAAATTAAATTTTAAATAATCAATTTGAGTACATTTTAGTGTGGATTAAGCCACAGAAAATGCAAATTGTAAGAATAATGCCCCACGATCAGCAACTTCAAGGTTACAAATTGCAGTGACCATGAAATTTTGTATATTGTGTGTATTAATATGATGAGATTTGAATAACAATTGACAAACTCCTATAACAGAGAAGTAGTTATATCTAGACACATACCATAGTTCTAGATGGCATTTAAAGAATTAACCTCCTTAAATGCTATTACAAGATATGATAAGAGAATCACCCAAATATATTTAATAATGTATGACAATGTTTATTTTTGATAATAGATATTCATAATAAGATAAATAATTTGTTTAATTACTAGACACACTGACTAATTAATTGATTAATTTCTAGATTTCTCCAGTCATTACTTAAATCATCTAAATGATTATCAAAGTCTATTAGTTTTCTATAAGCTTCTGCACGTAATAAATCTGATGCTTTCTGTATGGTGTCTTCTTCTACTGTTTCTCTGAAAATACAGAAAATTAAATTAAATTAAAATTACTCTCTGAATTAAAGGAAAATTAAGTTCAATATAATTGTGAATTATCAAGCAACTGCATTGAATGTACTGTTCCAATAGAATACTTTATTGGTAAAACTGCAAAACCATATTATGCCAAGAAAATTTGGCAATAAAAGGTTGGTTTTTATAAAATATTGAAATGCACTGCAAGTCCAAGTCAATGTAATTTTTAGTTTTTTGGGCTCTTGATAATAGGAGCCACTGTGGCTCAGTGAGTACAGTGTTGGTGTTCGCCAAGAAATCTCATATTTTTCCAACAATGGCTTTCTTATCAGCAGTGCAGGGCGGAGAACCCAGCAAGGAACAGTGCCTAATCATTCAGATGGTACAAAAAAACAAGGTCCTGTCGACATGTTGATGTGCACCCTTTACGTTGGAATTCGCTCATAGCACACTGCATGGCGTATTAGCATGGTTGGCACCAAATAGGGAGATGTTAAATTCCATGCATATTTTCCTTTCCCAGAAAAATAGCAAGTAAAAATTTTAATAGGTATTCCTGAAGAAAAAAAATTCAAATTGCTGTGGTGTAATACTAACCTTTTATCGGATTCTTTAAAATTATTATCCTTAAATAAATAAACCTTATAGGCTTCTGATACACTTTCAGGAAATATTCTTCTATTATCAATCTGGAAGAATCAACAATTATTTTGTACATTCTAAGGATTAAACAAAATACTGTTTCTGTAAAACATACAAGTACTTGTATACATTAAAAGAAAAATGACTAATGAAGTTTGAATGTCGTACATTTCTACACCAACCAGGCTAACGAAGCCTGGCATACACAGGAATTGTTTTAGTTGTCTCTTTCAGATAACTATATGCTTTGCAATGCCAAGCCCTCCGTACTGCACCACTGACAAGGGGAAACAAGGTTGGAATATCCCAAAAAATAAAACTGACAGTGCCACAGATTGTCAGACAATTAGGTTTGAGAATGTTCTGAGAATTGGTAAAGGGTCTGTTTTGAGACCATGTATATATAGGCAATGAGTACTCAATGCAATCAAGTGGCCCATTAAAAATTTGTACTCAATTTATTAGCAATTCATTCTGTCTTGGTGAATACTGAAAGAAATTAAACTATTTTGGGGCTGATATCCCTTTTTTAAGAGATTCAAATATTACAACATTGTACTTTTTAAGGGATTCAAAATCCCCCAAACCATGAACGTCAGCTTTAACTTTCCCTTTAATTTCATCTTTCAAAGCTGGATGGATTGAGTTATAATTTTTAAGATGCTAAAGAATTTTATTATTTCAATGTTATATAAAACCCACCATAAATACGCATGCTTCAGGTATATGGTCAGATAGTTTTCTTCCTACTGTTTTAGCCGAATGATTTAACCTTGAAATAGGAAGAAAAATTATTAACAATTTTACAACATGTCGACATTTTGAAGATAAATTTTATATATAACTAGTTTCTAAGCATCAATTGCATTTTTTTATAAACTTTAAATTTTAGTTGGCTAAATCCATCCTAAAATGTACTTTAATCGATTATTGAACATTTCATTAAGAAAACAAAATCAAAATATCAACATTAGAATCACCCGGCTTAGATTAAATCAGATTAAAAGTAGGTCCATCAAAAGATTTCAGAGAAAATCATAGGTTTGTGTTCATTGTAAATAATGAAAAGATACGAAATGACGAATTTTGGACCGAAATATATTATTTCAATATACAGGTATGTACATAAATAAACTGCCCTTTTACTTACATTTGATCATCATAGTTTGGATTAGCTTGATAATATCCTCCTATCACTAAACCTTTTGTTTTACAATAACCTTCAATCTGAAATAAGTAAAATATATAAAAGTAGAACAGGGTTCTCAACACAAATACAAAGTGTATATTTGTACATCATCTTTAAGTATGTGGGTCTAATATATCAGAATCTGTTAAAATAAGTTAAGAGAAAACTAAATATAAATAAAATTAAATTTATTACACTGGCCTGGCACCAGAGCTTTCGACATTTTGTACATGGTAGTTTTAAAAAAAAAAAAGAGGGTTTAACATCCTACTTTTCTGCATCAACTGGGCTAATGAGCGGAATTTTGCCCGGATATACATCTGTAAGGGCATCTTTAACGTGCAGACCAACTTATGGGAAGTCAGCTCTTCATCCTATCTGAACGAATAGACCCTGTCCTTGTTAGGCTCTCCATCCTGCACCAATGAGAAGGGGAAACCACGGTAGGAAATTCCAAGGAACTTTGTCAACCAACACTGGAATCAAATCCCGTACCCCCTGGTTAGTGAGCCGGTGCCTTACTAAGCCAATGCATCTCTGTATCATAATATACACATACCAACCGGTGTCATAAAAGTTGACCAGTGTAGTGTGACAAGAACCACAGTTCTATATTTAAATGCCTGTATTATGTATATTTGTTCATTGTTCATGTCATGAACTAATAATACTAATAGATATATATGCTATTTAACATGTTTTGAGAGTTATTTGTGCATCGTTTATGAGCTTGTAATGGATTTGCTATTTGACATGTTTTGGGAATTATTTATCAAAACTTATTGGAATTGAGACGTTTCTCTTGTCACATCAATTTGAACAGCCCAAATTTCAATTTGTTTCTTTCTCAAACAAAAAAGAACACAAAAATAAAAATAAAGTCTTTCTTTCTTTCGACTCGAGCTTTACAAAATTTGATATGAACATCACTGATATGCAGAATTCCAAATTCCCAAATGGCAAACCATAAAATTAACCATTCAGACTATTCTTTATTTGAAATCAATTATCACTCGGGTCAACTTCAATAGCACAATCGCATCTCCATCATTTTCATAAGTGGCTGTACCTGAAGAAGTGCAGCTTCCAACATCGGTGCCAAACCAAGCGATATATGGAAGAGAGGCACACAGTCTACGAATTTTAGAGATTTTGATTCCTTTACTTTATTCTCTTCTGCCAACAAGACACCACAAACACCCGCATGTGGATATTTGGCGGCGTGAAGTATGACTTTACAATACGCTTGCACGTTCAGCGTGACATCCGCCATTTTTAATACATACGGTACACATTTACTGCGGAGCTTCATGTCAAAAACTATTTTTCCAGTTAATAAGTCTGCTGCTCCATAAAATTTACCAGTACCACATACTAGAAGAATTTGTGTTTTTGTAATTTTTTACAATTGTTTAGAATCAAGGATTAGCAATTTAATCTGAAAGTTTACAGGTCAATATTCAAAGGGAGGCGACTAGGTTTGGCCTTAAATGGAGTTGTCCCTCTTCCGCCATGGGTGACTGACATTACAGAAAATAAATACTATTTTCAGGAATGGCAGATATAAAAAGCAAAGGCATATTGTTATCGTTGTCAGCGGGGACTACGGCAGCTTTAGCTTCAGTCAGTGCTAAGTTAGCCACCAGCAGTGAAGCAGATAAATTAAGCAAATTCATTTTGTTGATCGATAATAGCAAACAAATTGACCAAGATTCTGTAAGTGCTTGTTAAAGTAGCTAAGTCTCTAACTCAATATCATCCAAAATCTTCAACATTGAAAAAACGAATTATTTGTTAATTTAAATCAACATTGATGCTATGATCTTACCGGAAAAAGATTGGCTTCTGATATCCAATATTTAAGACAAAATAAATATTTTACCATTGGTACACGAATCGTGTACCATAATGCGTTTCAGCCCCAGTTCTAGCAAGAGACTCGAGGAACAAGGCTAGACATATTGCACCAAACCAAACGCCGTTTGTAGACTGGAATAACCAGACGCTAGGAATTTGCATTCGATTGAGACTGCTGGCTTATTTCACGGAACATAACTGATTTGAAATTAGAGTAAAAACGGAAACGATTGAATGTAAATCAGTTTATATTCATTCATATTACAGTATTATATGAGTTGCGACCCACTTGTGTCAATTTCTAGGTCCCAAATGTTAGCGATTAAGCTCCTTTAATGTTAGTAACTTACTTAACTTAAGGCTTTTTTATCGACTTGCCAAATCGATTTGAATTTAGTGGAGATGTCATGTGACAGTATAGTCGATTTCAAAGTACTTTGGCGAGTTTGTTAAATGCTCCGATTAGCTATAAACAATTGTTGTGGCTGGACACAGTTGGAAAAAAAACATGTGATCACCTGATCAAATCGCACCCTGAAGTGATTTGGCGATTTGATGTAATCGCTTCGGAAATCGGTGTCGATAAATTCGTTGATCAGGGTAACCAATTTGAATTAGATGGACGTTAAAGATGAAAATTTGATTGAATGCAAATCACTTTGGCTAATCAGTGGTCGATAAAAACGCCTTTAGTAAGAAGTTGACAGGAGAGGATGTCATCATTTGCAACAGCCAATTACCTTAGTTTGCCAGTCCATCCAAATGTCAAGAAACTTTCAGCCCAGCGGGCACCACCAACAGGAATCGTCCATCGACCCTCCCCACCCCAATGCTAGACATCTTAGTGCAACAAATATTTTTACATGTTTTGTTTTATTTTCAGGTGACGTTAGTAATCAGAGTGATATCAATATGTGAAATATTTTTATGCAATGCATTGATGTGGACTTTATTTACTAAATCTCTACAACATTTACCATCATTACAGGCCACCATTACTAATACAGCAGCTAATTTCCTAGTTTCAGTGAGTAAAACCCAAATAATTTTTATCGCACATATTGGAACAGAGTCAGGATTATTTGATTTGACGGGGCTATGTTTTGAGGGGTGGCACAGGTACAGGTCCCCAAATTTCTTTATTTTTACTCAGATATCCCTGTACATGAATTTAGCCAAATATGCCAGAATAGTATGGATAACATTTGAAAGATTCTTGGTATTATATATTGGAATATTAATCTTGAAGTTTCAAATTGACCATTAATGTTCAAAAAGTGGTTAGTGGAACAGGTATGTTGAATGATTGCCCAAATTTCTATGACTATATCTCTACTGAACACTCAGTTGCTTGAGTGTCGGTCATTATGTGAGACTCAGTTGCTTGAGTATCGGTCATATATGAGACTATGGGCGTACTCGATTGAACGTTCCGGAATTGAATTCTCTCAATCCCAAAAATAGTGACAATCGAGTGAAAATGGGTACTTCGGGCTACAACACATGCGTCGACTGGATATATAAATATCTCATCGAACCATGCAGCCGAAACCTGTTCGTCGTGTTCATTTACGTCACAATTCTACTCACACCACATCCGTCGTCGGGACTGACAGAACTGTGACAGGACTGAATTCCGCATCGCTCAATTGCAATTCTGTCAATTCGGGACGTTCCGGACTGTGAATCGAGCATACCCTATCTGTGCATTAAAGGGGGATAACCCCAACAGAATAAAATGAGTGTACATGTATTTATTCTGGATTTGTCTCCACTAAATGTGTTTCATTTTAATGCTTAAGAATATCTGCATCTTTTATTTCAGGCAATTATAGGTAAAGTTTTATTTGGAGAAGTACTAGAATTTTTATGGTGGATAGGAAGTTTATTAATATTACTGGGTTTATTGTTAATACATAAAGGAACTCAAACTGATGACCAGAAAAAACATTTATAAATGACAGGGACTACCCATTTTAATCATGTGTAAATAGACATTTACTAGATATATTTTTGATATTTTATTTTACAAGACATCTGTAATTTATTTATTTTAAAAAATATGTTTATTGTTGTTGCTTATTATTCCATCAGCTTCTTTTTATTTGTGAGAGAGAGAGATCCAACAGCTTCTTATTTGGGGGGTTAGAGAGAGAGAAATTCGACACAAACTAGGTCATTTCATGTCTAACATATGGTTCAATTTTATTTCAATAATTCTTTTGCGCATAGAGGTCTTTAGTAGTTGGAGGAAACTGGAGGACCATGAGAAAACCCACGAGGTTGGACAGGCGACCTTACTTCTTGTCAGGTACAACCGGGGAACCAAAACCACACCAGTAGCACCTTAGGATACAGCGCGCACCCGCTAACCATTCGCACCCCCCCGTTAAGTTAAATGAGTGCTACCGCTAACTGGTTAGGGTTAAATGGGTGCTACTGCTAAATGGTGCTAACTGTTAAAGATGCTAAATATGCCTATTGCAAGTCTTTCTATAGGCTTCAAATGTTATAGAAATTATTAATTTCTAGGGACCCTTGGATGGCTTGGATGCAGCTTAGATTTAAAGTTGCAATTTCATATTTTTAAGTTATATTTTTAAAATTTATTAAAATAAAGCCTTAAAATAGATGGTATCTATAAACAGTCCGACCTTGTTAAAGAATAATCCTATTAATCTTATAATTCACTATTGCCAGTTGAGAAATTGGCAAAAATATCATTTTCATTTTCAAATTCAAACGTTTGAAGATAGCTACTCCATGGTGGAGAATAGAAAACAAGGGAGGTAACTGGGAGGTAATCGTGTTATTATTTCAGGTGTAAATGAGTTTTAAGTGTGAGAATGACACCTATGATCGTATAATAGTAAGTTGACAACCTATTGAGCAAAAGACATAGAAATAATTATGTTTTGACTTTCTTAGAAAATATGAAATTGTAACTTTAAATAGTCGTCCATTTAACAATTAAATCATTAAATGGCTGTGAGAGAAAGAGAGATGGTTTTTAACGTATACTCGACACAAACTAGGTCATTTCGGGACTAACATATGGTTTAATTTTATTTCAATAATTCGCTTGCGCAGAGGTCTTTAGCAGTGGGAGGAATCCGGAGGACCAGGAGAAAACCCACAAGGTTGGACAGGCGACCCTACTCCTTGTCACGTACAACCGGGGATTCGAAACCACGCCAGTTGACTCTATGACAGGCCTTATGATACAGCGCGAGTGTGCTAACCATTCGGCCACCCAACCCCCCTAAATGGCTGAGCAAGCTAACATTTACCATTAATCACTGACTGTCGAATTGAGAATGTTACTTGATAATCAAGAATATATGGGCGGAGTTATCGTCTTTCAATTAAACGATCAGCAATTCTCGGAAACGGCGCGGAGACAGTTGATGCCTATTTCTAGTCCAAACTTCCAACAGTGATAATTTCATCCAGAATAAGGTAACTTGACTGAAATTTTCAATATTTTCTTTTTTTATAGTCTATTTCTGAACTGCGACCGATTCTTTATTGAAATCTTAACTAATGTATAGTTATGGGATAAAAACCTCAATTGGTGAAAAATCCTGGAACTGTTCCACCAAATTTTTAGTACCCTAGTGTAAGTGGGTCAAACAGTTTTCAATACATTGGGGCAGAGTGTAAATTGCATATTGCAATACAATTTCGGGAATTTGAGAATTCAAGGCACAAATTGAGCTTGTGATTTTTGTCGTGGGGACAGAAGGCATACAGCTCAGATTAGAATGTGTGCAACTATCAGGGGATATTTAAGTGCTGCCGGTGGTGTTCTTTGTAGGCTTTTCCTTTACAAATCCTCCATCCTACACTAATGACAATAGGAAAACCAACAAATTGTGGTGGGAACTGTAAGTATTAACAGCAAAGGTTAATACCTTACAGATTGTGTTTTGTGATCCATGCGGTGAGAACACTAGGTATAAACATCACTGTTCAATATCTTACAAATAAATAAGATATTCTTCCATTTTCTACTGTATTTATTATGTTCACTTGGTGAACTATTATATTCTATAATTATCTTGTATTTACAATATTTAATAACAATCTACAATTTCAGTATATTCTATATTATCAGAGATCAATCAATTTGTGGTTCTTTACTCAAAACCAATAAATGTATAAATAGACAGTTTATTAAACATACACATTAGTCTAAAACACACATATACTCAATAATCAATCTCCACAATGTAGTCAAGATTCAAGGTCTATTTACTCCCATGTGATTATGAATCATGTATGACCTTAAGATCATTGCTGATGTCAAACTCTAACATGTAAAATGGTCTATTCACTTTGCAGCACCTTTTCTCTGGAATTCTCCATCCTTAGGCATTAAAAAATCAAAAATTCTAGGCATCTTTAAATCACAATTAAAGACATCTAATTGACAAGAATAAACAATAGAAGAATCCATATAAACTTAAAATCGCATATTATGGAACTTTTAACTGAAGTATCGTTTGCGCTTGACGAATTCTATGTTGATTGATTAACATGAATGTATTAATAAACAAATGTTACATATTATTTAAATATAAAACAATCTATCCACCCATTTATTCAAATACTTTCATGTTTTAAAACAATTTTAATTGATGACATTTAGCTGATTTGAGTTATACATTAGAAGAGCTATCAAGGTGGAAGACAAACTTGTGTCTATAAATTTCAGAAGTCTTCTATATCTTATTCAATCATAAGAGATGACTTAACTCTTCATTTGTAACAACTTCAGGGTGTAGGTGTTATTGACATTGAAGAATAATCCTTCTCTTTTTAGAAGATGTAAAACTAACCAGCAAATGAATGTTGTAGAAGTATGATTTTATCATTCTGTATGACAGAATGTATATGAAAGATGGGAATGTTTCAATTGGTGTATGAAATTATATTTTGATGAGTATTTTTTACAGAGATATCAATATAAAAGATAGTTACATAAATCTATTAAATGCGGGCATTAATGAAGTTCAATTGAAGATGGGAGTTAAGGTGGTTAGGTAAGTATGTAGCTGGCTTAATAAACCAAGTGGTCCTGGGTTCGATCCCAGTGTTGGCCAAGACTGTTCCTCAGGATTTTTCAGCCTAGTTTCTCCTTGGTGTAGGGCATGGGGTCTAGCAAGGAATAGAGTCTAGTTGTTTGGATGGCTACAAAAACACTTAGGTCCTGTGTGTACTACTGGCAGGATGTTAAAGCTGGAAATTGAAATAACGACTAAAGGCTGTCCATTGCTTGGCATGTCATCCCGCACCACTGACAAGAGAAACTTTGGCGGAAAATCCTGAGGAACTTTCTCAAACAGCACCCTAATCGAAACTGGGACCTCCTGATTCACAAGTCAGCGCCTGACTTACGGAGTCACTGTGGCCCCCTATGTTGAAATGGCTTTACTCGAGAATATACATGTACAAATTTGATGCAAATCATTACAAGTTTTTACTATAATATGGCACTATATACTACCAAAATTATGATATATTTACAATTATCGCTATCTTTAAACTAGTTTACACAATAATAATAACAAACATTTAACAAATTATTAATTACATTGCACAAAAATAACATTAGACCTGTACCTCCCCTTAAACAACATGATGAAGTAATACTTAGAACTCATAGTACAGTTAATAAATATTGTGGTTCTATATATTTAAAGGAGCTTTTCCAGATATGCATATCCTAAATATTGTCTGCAATGGATACCAAATATTTACAAATTTTCAATCCATGACATCTTTGTAAATACTGAGAAAGGAACGGAAACATATTTGGACTAATATGCTTTTCAGAGATTCAACTTTCACATTATTTCAAATTGCAAAGGATTAACAATCTCTCCCATAACAACCTGAGACTTTAGACCCATTATTATTTATAGTGTTCTGTGAATTCTATGATCGTTTCTTTTAAATAGGCCAACTCTTAGTATCTGTAACTATTTAACAGGCTACTCTTAGAATATATTTAACCCATGATTTGTAACTTTAAAACAGGCGTACTTTTAGAATCAATTTAACCCATGATTGGTAACTTTTAAAACAGGCCTACTTTTAGAATCTATTTAAACTATGATTTGTTAATTTAAAACAGGCCTACTTTTAGAATCTATTTTAACCCATGATTTGTAACTTTTAAACAGGCCACTCTGACGGTAGTTTCTATTTAGCTTATGAGCTGTAACTGTAACTTTAATTAGGCCTGCTCTTAGAATATATTTAAATAGGTCAACTCTTAAGAATCTATTTAGCTCATGATCTGTAACTTTGTCTTTAATGTTTTATTAATATTAATAAATTTATTATTGACATATATAAAGTATTTAATACATGGTTGAAAGAGATGTATTTATCTGATAGGTTATTAAAAAAAATATATATATTAAATAGTGCAAATGTAACAAATTAAATATAACAAAATAAAGAAAAAAGAAATATTAATTAAAGGCACTGATCATCTATTGTATTTTGACAGTATCTCAATTTTCACCCTCAGATTAATCATTTACCTAATCCAAAATAATAATGGTAGATAATCTCCTGGCTTGGATTAAAAAGAGGCACATCAAAAGATTTTACCCAAGACTTACAGGTGGCACTTGTTGGTTAACATTGTAGTTTAGTTTGCAAGGGAATTAATATGTTGTGAGTCAGTTTGACTCAGTATTTACTAGTGCACTAACATAGTGCTATTGATAATAACATACAAGCACCACCCAATATTATTGATCATTGTCACACACAAATAAAGCACCAATATTGGTTTATAAATATGACACCTACAGTTCTGATTTTAAACTTTATCAATCAGGATCCTGATATAATCATTTGTCCATTCTATTTAAAGAATATTCTCCAGAAGCAAACAATCGAGCTTGCGCCGGTTTTCCATTCATTTTCAGATCTTGTGGTCTGAAGTTTTCCTTGTATGCTGAGTCTGGTGTTCGTAATAACTTCATCTTTTGAATATCTTGCTGAAGCCTCTGCAGTTGCTATAAAAAAATCATCTAGATTTCAAATATTTAAACAAAAACACAATCTAC